CTCAAAGTTCATGAAATTTCAATGAACATTGATCTGTCTCCATTGATTTATCTTAACTGCAGATCTTTGAAATTTTAATTTCCTGTTCATCTTGAGACTGCTGGAGATGGAATCACTGAGTGATAACTGGCTGCAGTGGATGGAGATGATATGGTCAGTGTTAACACAGATGAGGTTTGCTTTGCGTGGGTTTGCTGTGAAAATTTCAATTTGCCTTGGTTTGGTGTTGGTTGATTTTTTTTTTTTTAAGATGGTCTGCATGCGTATTTTCTGCTCTCAACACTGGAACACATTTATACTGAGGAGCAGCAGCATGACTTCTGAATATCACGCCTTCCTTGTACGCACAGGAGTCCGTTTTAATTCCTTAACGCAACGCTGTGAAGATATACGCTCGTCCTACGTCCGCAGCTGTTGAATATTGACGAGAAGAGGTCGTTATGTGTGTTGATGCTGTTGTGAACTGCATCCATCTAACAGACTGCAGGTGCCTAGAAGGCTTCAGTTAGACTGTTTGACAAGTCACAAATGCAATAACACTTGAATGAACTTCTGCCTGTGCTGTTTATCTGTCTCCCCCTTTCCAACTCCCACTCCACCTCTAATTTGTGTTAAGGGGAAAGAAAAAAATAACTGCTCAATGGTGTAGGAGGAGTGGAGATAAGCTCGAAGCAGTTAAGTATAATTAGCGAAAGTAATAGCTGGCAAATGGCAACAAGGCTAGGTTTTTATCTCCTGGAAAGATAGAGTTATCGTAATAAGCTGTAATGGCTGGCAGGAATGCTAGTACACTGTGCGAGCTTCCATTCAGGCTCATAGACTTAACAAGGAACAATTTCCTTTAAATTTACTGCTTTGCTCAAACATTTCCCTATGTTTTTACCTCGATACTGTAAGCCAATACAAGTGTTCAATCCGCTTTCATATGGACTGTGGGCACACTGTGCTGTATCGCCATGTAAGCACTTCTGGCTGCCAGAGACGGCCATGTTACAGTGTTCTTGTAGAGCGGTTACTCATGTCCTATTTCTAGAGAACATGGAGAAGGAGCAGCGGACCACACTCAGATGCCATGTACACGCCATCCACTCTACATTTTAAGTAAAGTGGCTCGACTGAGGCGGCTAAAGGAGCTCTCAGAGAAAATGTGTTAGTGGCATGAAAGGGTGGCAGATTAAGGCATCAGATCAAAATAAGATTGGGAATTGCACATTCCAGGCAGAGGAATCTCACTGAAGGCCTGCCATGCATGCCCGTGCGCATGCGTGATATTCAAAATTGGAAATGATATGGTCACAGCTGCACACCGAGTCATGCATTCCATTTCTTCATATTCTGAAACATGATCATTCACTCTCTGGAGAGAGAAAATTACTGAAATATTCATAAAAATGTTCTTCCAAACCTTCGTGAAGGGGAAGCACACTCTTTATCACGTCTGTTCTTTCGTCACTTACCATGCTAATTTTGCTCACATATGGCAATAAATCCTTTTGTTATCAGCTGTTTAACTTGAAATGTATTCGCTGTCGCTTTGTTGTCTCATTATGTTTGTAAAATTTGTATCACGACAGAAATTAAACCCCGGGCCATCGCTGTGTATATAAGACAGGCAGGGAAAGAGAAAAAAAGAGATATAATTGAACAAAACACGTAACCTGTCTAAATCTGAGCCGAAAATGAGAGAAAATGAAAATTCTATTAGTCTCTAATGTTCCCTCTGCCACCTCCCAACATCCCCCCCGCATGTGCTCTTCATCTCTCCTGCAAAGTATTCAAATGCAAGCCCTGCCTTACCTCCCCGTGTCTCTTTTTCTCTAATTATCCATGAGGTCAGTAAGCAAAATGGGGAAGAAGCCAGGAGATCAATACAAATTATCCCTGAGCAAACCAGTGCTGACAGTTTGAATTGCAGCATATGTTTACCCAAAATCAGGCAATTTATCTTAATATCAGGCGAGTAATGCAGCAGGGGTGAGAGGTCACACAATCTCTCCACCTCATAATTACCCGCCTCTAAAACAGGAAAGTGGTATTGATTGGCCGCGGGCCGGGAAGCGGGCGTGACTGGAACGTGCCAGCGACCCCCCCCACCCGTATCATACCTCCTCCAGTCCCCCCCCCCTCCCCTCGGCTAGACTCCCCACCCAATTCAGGATTTATGGGATGTGTGTGGAGGGTTTCATGTTTCCTTGCAGCGATTGAGAAGCCTTACAAGGAGGGGTAAGGAGGAGGTTAGGGGGAGGGGGGCATGCTTTGTCCACACCCTCATCCCACCTCTCTCTCCATATTGTACTGGAAGGAGCAAACAAATTCTGGCATGCATCGAGTCATGCCGGGGCATCACAGAGCTGCTCTTTAGAAGAGAGTAAAGTTTACGACAGAGTGTGAAGTTGGAACATAATGATGTGTCAAGGATTAAAAAAGACATGAGGTGAAGAGGTGGGGCTGCTGTCAATGTGTGTGGTGTGAGGAAAAGTAAGGCGAGTAGTCCCAATGATTCTTGTAAAAGCTCAGCACATGAAAGAAAATCTTTGCCTGAAAGAAAAAATGTGAGGCGCAATGCAACGACTGCACTCATAACACATTTATTGTCTAGATTGAATATAAGTGCTCAGTATATATCATCAGCAGCTCTTACAGGATTATTGACATTGTCTGTGTCTGTCTGCACTAGTGTACATGCTATGACTACAAAACTGTCAACTCATCAACTGACAGCACCGTTTAGCGCTAATGCAAGTCTCCATCAGCTGTCAAAAGCATTTGCATGAAATCAATAGCAGATGGCGGTCCGTGTCACCAATTTCATTATGCCGGGGTTGTTACAAAGATCATCTCCATGATAGATGAGATGGTGACATGTCGACATGTAGAGATCATGCCTGACGCTTGGACGACAACTGCAGGCGATTCTGCCAGGTGTTAAACCATGACGGAGAAAACTTTACATCTAATATCGGTTTAGTTCGAGGCGTTTCGATTCCTTCATATTTAGGTGTGTAATAAACTGTGAAAGCTGTCGACAAAATCCAGCATAAACCACATTTCAAGGATTAAGGAGACCCTACCCTCCAAAACATGCATTTACAGGAGGGCATCATTATCATTGGAGAGGCACATCAAACAGAACACCTCTCCCAACCTAGGTCTTGTCCTGTACTGTACGTCTCTCCGGCTGTGTTCCCAGCATGCCTGGCGGGTTGTGTAGGCCCCAACTGAGGCAGAGGACAGGAGAGCGTGATGTATCACCCTGAGAGAGCCCACTGACAGCCTCTGATGATGGATGGCCTGATTATGGAGTGCTTTTTACACATACACAATTTACATCACACTGAGCAGCAGGGTCTGGCAGGGCTGCCGTGCACATAGACTCTCTCTCTGCCGGCCATATGCACTCACATCTACACACTCGTGTGTGTACACATGCACACATGTACAGGACTGCCAGAGTGCATAGATAAGAAGGGGAAGGGGGGTGGAAATAACAAAAGAAAGGGGGCAAATTCCTTGCTATAGCCTTGTCATGTACGATCAATACGGCAGATCAATCCTTTATTAAGGAGAAGATGGCTTTCCCCCACATTCCATGGCAGACCTTTGTCGTTTCGGGACGCATGATGACATGTCAAATCAGATTTCCAGCAGTGTATGTTGTTGTGGCATGGGTTTATTCAGGTGTGTCCAGCCTATGAGGCTGAATATCACTGTATTTGTAAGCCAGATCCTTGCTATCGATTATCACCCTGCATTGTCCATGCTTGAACACATAACTGCTCCACTTGAGCACGGTTGAGCTAGCAATTACCGTATTTGAGTTTTAGCACAAGTGGTGTGTTCGATTATAAGTATGTGTGTGAGTAACATAAGTATGCGTGAGTAGGTGCAGTATGCCTTATGGGTGTGTTTCGGGGTTGTGCATGTGTATCTGATGTACAAAAGAAAGAATGAGAAACATAAATGTTCCTTTTCCTGCCCTGACTCCCTGGCTTGTGCTCCAGTGGCCCTGCCTGCCTCTATGTGCGTGTGTGTGTTTGTGTGTTTGTGGTGGGGGGGGGTTGCTTGCTTTCACATTCTCTGGTGTTCAGCAGGTTCAGCGAGCTGTGCGGTGTTAATGCTGAAATTACATGCTGAGTAATGAGTGATGGGCCAAATTACAGGCTGAACAATGAATAGAGGCAGGCAGCTCTTATTAGTCTCCATAGAAAGCCATTGATTTATGAAGCGCCTTGCTCGGTGGAGTTACTCTCCTGAAAATGATATCTACATTGAGAAGTGATGTTCTCTATTAAGTCGTTCCTTCCCCCTTTACACTGCTCTCCTCCTTTCTTCCACTCCTCCCCTCCTTCTCTCCTCTGCCCTGCCTCCCTCGCCTTGTCCTGCCTATGAGTGTACACATGATTGTTTAGAATCAGGCGGAGCTGTAAGGAAACCTTCAATTACCCATTAGGACTGTCAGACATAAAACGCCCTGCTCTCACCAAAGTCTGGGTTATGATTCATTTACTTTGTGCCTCTGATTCATCGCCCAATATGCTTCATGCCCCAGATTACTATTTGAGGGGTGGGAGAGATTAATGGCTCCATGGGATCTGCTGCCGTATTTCACACGGCCAGTGTTGCAGTACAGTTGGTGCAGAAGGGTGAAATGACGGCAACTTACACTAGATCAATGTGTGGACAGCCTTTCACAGATTATTAAGGCTCTGTTAGATTAAAAGACCGCCGCTATGTAGTTTGCTTTAGTCAATATTCTCAAGCAGATAAAAAGGGGGAGGGCCCCTCTGAAGAATCCTCAGACTGATGTAGGTCATCATGGCTTTTAATGGAATAGCACTTAGTGGCACAAGTGTCAGAGGAACTTGTGTCGTATAAAACACTGTCTGGCCCTTGAGGTTTGGATTTGGAAATGACTATTTTACTGTAAACTCTAACTCATTTCTCAATTAGTTTAGCCCCCACAACGCTCTAATTTTCACCTTCTCTCGTCTTTTTTTCAGCCCTGAATGAGCCAACCATCGACTATGGGTTCCAGAGGCTGCAGAAGGTCATCCCCAGACACCCCGGCGACCCTGAGAGGTTACCAAAGGTCAGTACAGTGTCTCTGCTGCACTGAAAACCAAAAGAACCATAATGACACAGAGCGGTCTGGGTTATAATTCTTCGACAAATAAACAAAACAACATTACAACCAAGCAGAGCAGTATGACCCAAAACTCTAACAGATTTTCTTCACATATGTGGCTTACCCACTAACCAGCGTGGTAATGCTATTGGTTTTGTGTGTGGAGAGAGGCGTAAACTCTCTGTGTGGTAAAATAGCTCAATCAGGCGTTTTCCTCTCCAGTAGTCTGTGGAGATGGTAATCTGGTCAGAAACGACGTCTGCACCCTCATTACCCCACTCATGTTTTCCTTTCATTTTCTGCAGCTCGATTTGGTTTAATCTTTTGTTTACAGAACCCTGTGCCGTAAACCCCCTAGTCTTACTGCGGCTAATAGACAAAGACTGCATGTTATTATGCTTTGGCTTTCTTATTGTTTTCTTTTGAACGTTGGTGAAGGAGTTGAAAGCCACATCAGTTTTATACACACCGGTGTGGCACATAAAGACGCTGGCATATTGAAAGACCTGAGCATGAAAACTTGGGTGCAAACAGTGAGAAAAAAACCCTCCCCTGCAGAACCGCTTTGATTCTTTTATTCTTTTTCTCCCCTTTGATTCTTGCGCTCTTTCCATTTCCGATTGATAAAATCTATCTGTGTGTTTTCACTAATTGCTACCCTGCCAGTAACCATTTTGATGACTGACGTTCCAGATGTGTCAAGTGTAATAATATGACTGATTAGTACTTTCAAAACCCCTCGGCACGCAGTAAAGTGGAGGCCACCTCAGAGTTTTAATAATACTGTAAAACCTTTAAAGACCTTATCTATTAAATCCCAGCATGCTACACCGCAATATCATTAATGTCCAACGGACAATTTAATAAAGAACAGACTGTGTGGTAGCTATAGACATTTGACCAAGGCAATGTGGAGAAATGGAACATCACAGCTAGTCCCTGGTTCAGTATATGAAGTGTTTCAATTAGACCCAGTCCCTGTGGAGACAGGAAACAACACCTAGACATGAAATGTTACTCTAATTTCAACTGTAAACGTAGACCAAAAGGTAAAGTACACTTACCCTTTCATATCCACATGACTCGTTCTATCTCCGCAGGCATCACAGGTCAGTCTAGCTGCACTGTTTTTATTTTATAAAGTCACCCAGTGTCTTTGTGAAATCCACATCTTGTGAACAAAGAGAGCAACAGTGTTTAACACAGCTTTATTACAGAGAAACCCTCCTCCCTTTTTCCCTTTCTTTTCTTTCTCTTCTTTTTTTCCTTGAATACAAAGTGTTGTTGGCTCTGAGACAGATTTTGACACTGAACCCAAGATTAGTTTCCTGGGTGTGCGCATACTTAATATAGCATGGTCTCCCAGCCTTTGCATGAAACAATCACAGAGTGAGATGAAACCCTGCACTTCCAATAAACAACATAAATATTTGATTTGCTCTCTAATGGACCCAAATATGGGGTTCAGGGGGCATGTAAATGATCCCACCAAGTGATTCGTCATTGTTAAGCTTGCCATCTGAGGGTCAGCTCTCGGGGTCAAAAGCACATTCCCAATAAAACAGCCCGCGGCGGGCCGAGGCTGGCATGTACATTTGGAATGAGAACAGAAACGGCATATAGAGAACAGCCATTACAGGGTGCAGGTGAGGTAGGGAGACTCTATAAAAAGAAGATAAAGCTGGAGGACGCGCGGTGTGCATTAGCAGAAAGGCAAATCGACACCAAGCCCACTCACCACCTCTACTCCCCCCTCCCATGACTTCACCCTCCAGTTGATAATATTACTCCACTATTGATTTCCACCAGCCTTCTCCCTGGGACCAGTAAGACACGTGGTAATTGTAAGGAGACAGAAAGCCAATATGGGAGTGCTCATGGATAGCAAGGGATGCACGCTAATATTGTTGCTACACAGAGAAAAAAGGGGGGAAGCTGCCTCTGATTGAAGTTTACCTCGTAATTCTAAGACAACATCGTAGATGACAGTCTGACCCTGTGGGAGGAGTGGAGATATAAAAATTCAATGCAAAGTCCAGGGTGAATATGAAAGTAATAAGTGTGAGCAGTCAAGTGATGAGAAAGGAGATTGGTTTGCGGGCATTGCGTTAAGTGAAGAGAGACTTTGGAATTCACCCTCCCTTTTAAGATCTTGTTATAAAACAATTTTCTATTCATAATATAAAAAAGACAATTTATAATACCATTTTGTGCCCTCTGGCAGTAATGGACAAATAGACTGGATATCACATTATATCACACTCAATTTCTCTCTTCTGTAACAAATTAGATTCATTATGAAATTAAAAGTGGAAACTCAATATTGTTTTATTATTAAGCTGATTGCTTTGGATTCTTTTCTTTCCTCCCAAAATGAGCATAAGCCCATTCTTTTCCAATTCTTTGTGTAATCCACAAGGAGAAAATATTACAAATGTGTTCATGTCAAGCAATTACCCATGTATTTAAATGAATCTCTCTTCCTGTGCTCTTTGAAGTACCTTCATCTAATGGCCCTATGCTTCTAAATGCATTCATTACCTCAGGCTAGAGCTAACAGAGTAATTGCCTTACAGTTTTATAATGGCATTAGCACTCCAAGCTACATAACCTAGGCCCTTTTTTATTAACTGTGATAATATAAATACAACATCCATGTTAATCTACTGCTTGAAGAATCACATTTGGGCCATTTTAGACCACATCTCCTTATTGTTAGATATTTTTTATAACACATCATTTGATATGGCTTTCCCCACCCCCCCCACCCCCTGGTCGCCTTTTTTCTCAGCAATAACATAAAAAGGCTCCTAAATCTTAGGTGATCTGTTATCTGAGCAGTCCCATTTAGACAGTTGCGGAACACGAGACCTTTATGCAAAGCATGGCAAACAATAGAAGGAATCTGTCACGCATTTGTCACAGAACAACAGAAATCATTTGAAGCCTTTAATTGTTTCAATTTAACATGGTGTGTTCTGATATGTCTCCATGACAAGAAAGCCAATTACACTTATGCTGGAGCAGTATTGAGATTTACATGGAAATGCCCTCAGAACACTATTCCGTGTTAATCGTATTCACAGCGTGAGCTGATACGCATGGAAGCGTCTCGTCAGAAGAAAACAAACTTCTTCCTTGATTGGGTGCAGCACTTCTCATCATCCTCGGATATGACTAGGTTGCCACTTAAGCATAGCCCTGCGAGTCAACTTGGTTAGTTAAGACACCACGCGGTAAACGACAGATTAAGGATGAGAGGCAATATCGTTTTCCTCCCTCCTTTTTCCAAGCTCTCCTTATGTCACTGCTGCAAAGTACCATATGGACAAGGAGGGAGAGGACGTTTTACAGAGAATGAAACATGGCTTGCAAACGCGACAGTCTTAATTGCTTTAATTGTTGTTTAAAATTGAGAGCCATGTAGGAGATCTTGAAATATGATAGAATAGATTATTGGTAATTATTAACTGCAGACAAAAAGAAAGAAAACCACTTTATCTCACTCAGCAAGAGAGAGAGAAATCTGTTCTGCCTGATGAGAACACATCAAGACAGCTGGTCCTCTCATTTAGTCTACCTGCCTCACGACAACCATAATTCTTTATTTGTATGCAAACTAGATGCATGCAACGTTGAGCATACACACCAATTTCAGAGGTAAATGCCCATTCTAAGAGCCACCCATCCGGTAACTTGGGGTGGATTAAGCGATATGTTTCTATAAGAGAGCATGGCATACGCTGGAAGTGGCTTCTACAGTGATTCATCTTGATAAATCAAGGACTGTGGTAGATATGCTCCTCTGGATGAAAGGGCCCATACACACGCTCCATACACACTACATACGCTGTGCCTTGGAAATGCAGGCCAAGTCTTGGAGGCCGCTGTTTGAAGGCGCGAAGGCTGTGTTTACATTCATTTATGGCAGCTGCCGTCTTAATCCCACACTGCTATTGCCAAGTGATGGAACACTTCAGACAAATTACCGGGGCCCGCAAAAGAAAACACAGCGAATGTGGGAAGAAAACAAGCGCCATCTGAGATGTTTCTGGTGACAGATTTGCATTGCTTTTAACCAGGGTTCTAACAGCACAGGCGACAAATCTCTACTCTACAGCAGGTGACAACAAGCGAGCGTTTTAAAACACACGCGAGAGCCGTGTCTGCAACTTGCCTTTGTCAGATTATATGCACTCTAAAAGGAGGAGAGGATTTTTCATTGAGCATATTGCCTTCTGTATTATAGAAAACAAAGAGAGCAGCCTGGTTGCTTGAGAGGGATTTAATTGTAAGTGCTGAATTCAAAGAGCAGATAAAGATACACAAACGGGCCAAACCCCACCTTGCTGAAAGCCCGAAAGAGAGTGGGGGGGAACGGGATCCGGGGCCAACTCATTTTCAGTGTTAAGAGCCAAAGCAACACAGCTAATCCGCATTGTCAAGCGGGGGCAAGCATGCAGACATGGATAAGACCACATCCTGAGCATCCGTGTCCCCAAGGCACAAGCACCCAGCTCTTGCTGGATGGGAAGTCATTTGTGAAGTCCTTTGCAACAGCCAGTCAAAGAGGTTAATTGAAAAATTCCTTAATGTCATTACAACAGAACTAGATTAACCCAGAGCTAATTCACTTTATTGTTCTGAAGAGAGGGGACTCAGCGGTGAACTCTGGAGCAAACGTGAAGCCCAGAATCAGGGGTGAGGTGTTGTTTTTAAAGGACTATGCCAGTTTAATTAAGATAGGGAACATTATTCACTGCTCTGCATGGTTGGAAGGAGTAAAATGGTAGTGCCATATAAATGCAGCTCTAGTGCCTCTTAAATCAAGGTGGCTTTTATTTAGTGTTTGAATATGTAAACATTTCTAAAGCTCCCCGCGACCCTGCTGCGCAATGTTGCTTTTGATATTTTCTGTTACTGTACGTACCACTGGGCTCTCCAATGTAATCTCTTTAGGTTTTAACATTTACTCCCACTGCTTTCCTCATCAGGAGGTGTTACTGAAGAGGGCGGCTGATCTCGTTGAAGCCCTGTATGGAATGCCTCACAACAATCAGGTCCGTGTCCACACAGCTAATTTAAGCATGCTTGTACCTCTGCTAAGTAAGAAACAATTTAGTATCACCAAAGGGTATTTTTACCACTATATCTGGAACAATGTAGGCTACGTGCATTGTGAGTTAACCATATAGTCATGAACCATGCATCAAAGAAAAAGCACAGCTATAAAGAAAAAGCAAAAAACAACAACATAAATAACAAAACCTTCCCCTGTGCTTCTCAGGAGATCATTCTGAAGAGGGCAGCTGACATCGCAGAGGCCCTGTACAGCGTTCCCCGCAACCACAACCAGATCCCCTCTCTCGCTAACACAGCCTCCCACGGCATGATGGGAGTCAACTCCTTCAGCAGCCAACTAGCAGTCAATGTGTCTGAGTCACAAGGAAATGACCAAGGTATGAGATTTTGGATATGGCTCTGCAATTCAGGTGGGTTTCCAAAGTGGGGTGCGGGGACCTGTAGGTGGGCCCTTGAGGGTATTCCAAGGGGTTTGCAGGAAAATGAGAAATAGTTACATTTCCCTCCTTTTTTCTTATTAAAGTAAGAAAATTGAACAGGAATTATGTCTGAACGCTGTTTTTTTTTTTAAAAGGGTCCAATTAACGTGTCAAGTTCTCTTCTTATTAAACTGGCATCCGCAGCATGCGTTAATATAAAATTTTTACTGCAACAGCAAAACTCCATTGTTTTTTTTTACTGTAATTAGCAAACACTCCACATACATTAAAAAAATATCCCTCTCCTTTTTTCTTGTGTTGTTCAGTGGGTTACAGCCGGAACACCAGCAGCGTGTCCCCCAGGGGCTACATCTCCAGCAGCACCCCACAGCAGTCGAGCTACAACACCGTCAGCAACAGCATGAATGGCTACGGCAATGCCGGTATGAACCTGGGAGTGCCAAGCTCCCCTGGGTTCCTCAACGGATCCTCTGCCAACTCCCCATATGGAAGTGAGTAGCTTGCCACTATCGCACGCTGTAGTAGCACTAAGCTGCTGCTGATTTAATTCCAGCTCCCACATTCGTTTTCACTTCTATGAATCATTTCTGACGGGGGTTTATAAAATTACCGATGGTGATAATATATTACCGGTTATTCACGGGGGCTTGTTTAGTTTTAGCACTTTGGAGAACACGCGCGCAGCTTAGAATCAAAGAAATATTCATTTTGTCTTTCACCGTTTGCCACCTGTGTTTGTTCAACTGGGCAAGATGTTGATGGTAGGGGCCTGTGAGTACTGATCGTGTATCCCCCCTGGCAGTAATACTATCCCAGCCTTACCTTAACTGCCCTCTCCCTCTTGAGCACTACTCACAGCACGTTCTCACTCTTACCCTCCCTCCTTTCCTTTCCTTCCCTATCGTCTCCACAGTTAAACAAAAGAGCGCCTTCGCCCCTGTGGTCCGACCCCAGGCCTCCCCACCCCCCTCCTGCACCAGCGCCAACGGCAACGGACTGCAAGGTGAGCCCCCCTCACCCCCTCATCCCTTCCCTACGGACTACTGGTCAGATACCGCTGCTCAGGCCTCTGTCCGGTTTGGTGAGGGATTAATCATTACAAATATATGCATTTTGACAGGCCAATTTACACCTTTCAGTTTACATTCAGACGCACACACTCACACAGAGCATGCCTTTGCACACACGCACAAGCGTAGGAGCGCAAGCTTCATCCTGCGTCTTCGCCAACATTCACACAAACATACATCCTTGTTGCCCTTTCATACAAATGATCCCCTCTGATGTCGCAGGAAAAGACCTTCCCAGAATTGTTTTAGTAATTATGTTTATTAGGTTTTGTGCATGTGTCATGACCAACATGATTGCTTTGAAAACAAGCTTAGCCGTAGTGTGTGCCCCAAGATTAATAACATTGGGCTTAATGAAGTGGGAAATTAAAGTTCATCTTGCTACACGTTCATACTTATTAATACATGTTGTGCAGAAATTAATGAGCAATGCCTTGCCATCATCTGCGCTGGCAAACTTAAAAGCATTTCAACCATGACTCTACAAATATACTCAGAGCAATATAATAATATATCATCCCAGCACTTCACTAGTCGCCTAATTGTTAAAACGTGTGAAAATACTGAATATATAAACTCTCAGGGTGAGGTACAGTTGCTAATGATATCCTAAGCAGATGGTCTCGGTAAAATAACGGAAGCTACCTTTGATCTTGCCTAATCTCTCTTGGATAATGACGCAGAGGCATAACTTGGGGAATGGGGAAACGTAGGACTAATGTGCCGCTCGGTGTTGGAGAGTCAAGGATAAAGAAGAGATGACGGGAGGAAAGGAAGTGATAGGACTGAATTTGCGGAGAGGAGAGTCTGGGTGTCTGGTACTGTAGCATTGTGGCATTGTGGGAAGTGACCGTGTTGTTGCTCTGCCGTCACCACGGCTGTGTCTCCTGGGAGTCTGGGCCAGTGTTTGCTATTACCCCAATGCCAGGAGAAATATCACACATAGCAGGACTGGCGTGCTGGGGGCTGAAATGTCAGAGCAGGAGGGAGGTTTTCAAACTCTCCCCGTTAGGAGGACACGCAGCAGCAGGCTGGCGGACACGGCAAACACTCACAGGCTCATACGCAAACAGGCACATTAAGGCTTACATTCACGCACTTGCGCACTGTCAGATGGCCACACACGCACACACACACACACACGTACACACACACACACACACGCCATGCATGCACTAAATTACAACACTTTAATAGTTTTTCATACTTATATCCATACCTGCTTTAGCCTAATAAACTAATCTCCGTTACCTTTCTCTCTTTTTTGTCCCCAGCCATGTCCGGCCTAGTTGTCCCTCCAATGTAAATGCACTTTCGTCATCTCAAGCACCAGTCTACCCACTACCACTTCACAGGGCACCCCCTCAGCACACTGCAAAAGGCTGGTGCAATGTATAGTCCACCGCTTGTTCTGTTTTTGAAGACGAAGAAAAAAAAAAAGAAAGAAAAGAAAGACTTTTTCTTTTTTAATTTTCATTGACTTTCACAGCCTGCAGAAAAAAAAGGATTTCATGATGAACAATATTTTTTTTCTGTGGGATTTTTTTGTTTGTTTATTCCCCCACCCTCCTCCCATTTTATCACCCTTGAAGAGGACACAGGATGATGAAGTGTTTATTTTGTATACCTGTCGGGTTGCGCTTCGGTCTCGGATTTGTCCAATCAACCACACGCTCAATACTGGAAGGGACTCTGTGGACTCACCATCTGGTTGTAAAGTAAAAACACTGATGTACAGTACATTTGCCAATGAACTTGTTTGCCTCAGAAATTGTTTTCTGTTTCAACTCTCTTTTAATAGATTCACAACAGTTGTGTGTCTTTATAATGTGACTTTTTTGTATTTTTATGTGTGAGAAAAATACACAGGGGCCAAGACAGTTTGAATTTCAACTGGAAAATATATGAGATATATAATGTAGAAAATCGATCATAAAAGTACAACAAATACGAGTAAAAAGGGGCAGGGCTGGGTGGGTAACGTTGTATCATGTTTCATTCCTGCATTTTAACTTAAATTTTGTAATTTATTGTAGCTAGAAATCATCTTCAAAAGTAAAAAAAAATCCTCTTTGATTCAACAAGCACACTGATGTGTACAAAACACTGCTCTGTTGATGAATATGATGTACTTCCATGTCTAGAGCTTCCTTTTAAGCAAGTGTGTTTTGCCATGTTTTTCAACTTTTTTGCTAGCACTGTATATTAATGCATTCCTAGGCTACTGTGAAGTCTGTTTCTTGTTGATGAGGAGCAGTCTCCCCCCCCTAGCTCCAACTCCCTTATGTGTTTTATATGTGGTAAAAAAAAAAATTGTAGACTATTGTGATATTGCCAAACGTGTGCTAAATATTTATACATCTGTCTTTTTCATGTTCTTTTAGATCAACAAAAAAGAAAAAAAAAAGAAAAAAACCCCAAAACTAAATTACAATCCATTGACAATGTAGGACTATAGTAGTTCATTGTCATATTTCTGTTCCAATACACACTTGCGCTCACTGAGGGAAATTTTGTAACATATCAACTATAAATAATGTATTTATCTCTGAAATTTTGTATATTGCTTTTCATTATGTATGTATTAATCGTCATGCCCTTAATATAGTGATGCAGCACAGATAATTCAGCCAAGAACTGTTGCCTTCATTTGTTTTTCTTTTTGTATTTGATGAAATGCAATGTGCATATATTTCATGTGTATCCTCAAAATTTGTGTTACTCCGTCAAGACTCTCTGTCCATTTTTTAAAGGGGAAGTCAAACTTCATTGTTTATTTTTGTATTGATTTTAAATTATCTATACAGACCATTTTGGAGAAAACTTTGTTGGTTGTATTGTCAAATAAATTGTTTGTGACCCATATGATAGTTGTTAAGATCCAATAGAGACTAATGTGCATGAGGGACAACCTTGGAGATAAAAAAAAAAACACTCCATCTGTGGTTGTATTTTTTTCTGTTTTGTAGAATGTATAGAAGTCATTTTTACTCACCACTTATGACTCTGCCACATAGCTTACTTGTGTTTACAGGGAAGACAAATTTAAAACTGTTCAACATTTGGAATGGAAACAGAAATGAATAAGCGATGTTTTATTAAAATTTTCAGTAAAAACACAATAGCTACTCAACTGTGGACTTCTTCAGTTTGAAGTACAGTTTGGCTGGCAGACAAACTGACAATCAGGAACAAGAAAAAGACAGTAGAAACTTCTGAGGACAAACCTGTGATTCGTCTGTAAGATGTAGTGTTTAGACATTGCTATAGAGATAATTGTTTGACACCTGTGGAAAAAGTGTAACATCCATAAAAGATGAAAACTGCTCTTTACTCATATTCTTTCAGCAAAGCACTCTGACATTGTGACATATTCCTACTGGTCTTTGTATCAGCATATCCTGCATCTGTGGTGCTTCAAAGGTTCATTGTAGCCATTCATAAACAGTGCAAGCTTTTTATTCAAAACACCCCAAATGGGGCTCATTCAAATCCCTCATTTCATTGCATTAAGCCACCTAGTTAATAAAGAATCAATACATTGAAAGAGCAAGGTTATCCTTTGTCTATAAGGGCTGGTATCGTTTTGAACCTCTTATAGTTAGAGCGTTGAAAGGGGGCCGTGGTGAAATCTATACTCATCAAGTGGGTCAAACAGAAGGATAGAAGTGTTTGAGGGAAGAATAGTGGTTCTCCTTAAAAACAACTGAGCATCTTATCTGCCATCCTGAGTGGTCGCGGGGAGCAGGTCGCAAAATGTCAATTTCTCATCAAGGCAACATTGTCCGAGGCCACCTCTGCCATAAATGCACAATTAAGCGCCAATCAGCATATCGCAGCTTATTATGTCAAACAGCATGCACAGATCTGGCAGCACCGGAGATAGCCCAGGAGCTGCTGATAGCGCAAAGGACAGATACGCTAAAAAGAGCTATTTAATTTTCAGCCGCCTTGTTCTTTAAATCATTCCCTCGATAATCCAGCGCGTCTGATAACAACAGCCACACAGATACACAGGTTTGGATCCATCTCCTGCGCAGCGCCGTGTCTTATTATTTTAAAAAAATGTTAGGACAAACAGCACATTTCTTTAGAAACCAAACCAAGCAAAAACAGCCAAAGAAAGAAAAATACTGAGGGTAAAAGTGCAATCAAAGAAAAAAAAAAAAAGACAAGTTTAGTTTTGAGCGCTCTGAAGCCTGGCAGGCGAGCTCGAGGTACAGTATATTGTCTCAGCAGGTTTCCCTGTACCCAACAATCAGCCACTGGCTCTGCCACAACATTCAATCATCGTGAGAGCCTCTTTTATTGGAGAGCTCTAATGGCTACCCTCCACCATGATCTTAATGTGTGCATTAAATATTTATAAATCCTGGGTCAATAATGCCCCACATCCAAAGTCTGACAGACCCCCACCATACCATGTGGCTGCCTTGCTCTCAAACACAAGCAAAGGTGAAGGGGTCACGCAATCAAAAGAGAGCGAGGTTCACCGCATCCATATGTTGCCACTCTTATCAAGACTTTCCTCGGTACTGGTTATCTGTCAAAGGAAAGAAATATTGAAAGCAATATCGATCTTAACTGGCCTCGTGTTGCCGAGGGCCACTCTTCAAACATCTGCTTGTGCATTGTTATATTTAAAAAAAAAACCCTCCTTTCGATAATATAAGCCTGAGCAGTAATATTGAACATCTCTTTGTGACGCGGGCCGCTCAAGCGTGACTAATAACTGCGTTATTAACAAGCATCACTTGAGATTTTTACAAGTTGATACGCAGTATACGTACTAAACATTTCTTCACTGGCGTGGGGTTAATTGCGCCGCCTGGCAACTACACGAGTGACTCAGTTTGTTTTGTTTTTTTCCCCTCTCTCTCTCTCCTTCCTTTTCTTTTTAACGTGACTATATCCAGGCTGCGCTCCTGTGCTGTTCAGGTGAAAGATTGTGCTCTGGTGATAGCGCACACAAAAGAGCGACCGGACAATAAGCCAGTCAATGGAGAGCTCCAGTTGAAAGAGCCACAATGGCCGTGCATGCTGGGAATTGGGCTGGATGATATAAAGGAATGAAACCTTCACTGAGGCCGTGGAGGACAAGCTTTCAGAAAAGAGGTTTTGTTTGCTCTTTATCAATCTGCCGTTTCCCATGAGAAAAAACAATTCAAACTGACCTTAAAAAGGGAATATTACCTTACGTATCCGCTCTCTACGTAACTCTTATTGAGGCTTATACGTTCACTCTTAATGCATTATCCCACATTGATGTGGTAATGCGAACATGGGCACAGTACCCGGACGGGTCGTAAAACAAAAAGCTGGACGCTGGATTTTTTTGCTTTGTTTTATCTTCTCTGCTTGATGGGCAGTGCTGAGAAGTACTTTTTTAAGGATTTGCTCTTGGACAGACAGGATTTGTGAAGCCGCTGAGTGATGTGTTTTGTGGAGGGGAAAAAAAGTCTCTGCAACTCCCGTGAAGTTCACACATGAGTGGGAAGCTGCCTCTTCCACTCATAAAAGCCGCACTACTGCAGATCACAACTCGGAGATGACAATAACTCAAAATAGGGAGTGTGACCTTTTATGAACGATTTGAAATTTGAATCAAAACTGGGAATCTGACCCACATTAGCGCCGTCTCCCGTCTGTAAATCTGTACATCAGATAAGACACTGCTCCCCTGCTACTGTACACTGGGAGTCAGCTTTGGAAGGAAAACTCTAGATCCTCACAAAGATTTCCACTTCACTCACTGCAGTCAAGAAGGATGAGCAAAGTATCCCAGTGCTTCAAAATCCATTAAACTTGTATTTGGGTGTCATTTGATACTTCATCAATGTTTCAGTACATTTCAAACCCACAAATGCAGGATTTACCCGCGGTAGAAATAGAGCATTCACCGTACTTTCCTTCCATGAACTTCACCTAGCCCAAAAATTACACTATAAAGATTGCCTGGTCAGGGAGTGCTAGGCTGCAGTGATAAAATAATATCACTTGAACAGTATTTTTCTGCCACAGTCTCCACCACATAGAGCTCCTTTCATAGTACTCCTCTGTAGTGCTTTGTCCAGTAGTTCTGGATATGATATCATCTATTAATAATGTATTGGCAATGGATTACATAAAAAGGGAGCAGAAATAACATCCAATATTCATGCCCCCTGAGCTTGACTGTGTCCAATCCGTTTGGCCCATAAAACCTTAGCCCCATTTCCATATCCGCTGTGGGTCACAACAGGTCTGCCGCACAAAGGCTCACAGAACAGCTCAACTCAGGAAAAGGGCAGTAAAAATCGGGTGGATTTCTGAACCCTTATGAAACAGCCACCCTTTGGAAAAAAACGTGAAAAAAGCCCTTTTCCGATTTCAGCGGCTGTGAAAAACCTGGTACTGTATTTCCCTCTTTAATTGTCCCACTTGAGAAATTGACGTGCCTCTGAAACATGGCA